CCCGTGTCCCCTGCATCGGCAGGCGGACCCTCAACCACTGTGCCACCAGGGAAGCCCTTTCTCAGATTTTTATCTAGTGTTATATACATTGATGTATAGAAAGTTCAAAAATTCTCTAGATCCTTTTTAAAATTTTCACATTTAACTATTTCACACGTTCAAAGATAGGACTTTATAAATTTGTTTATATTTTTTTCTATAAATATGTCTCATGTGTCTCTTATGAGCACAGCACTGAGATAATGAGAACATTTTTATTGGCATTACTTTAAAAGGTCAGCCATCCTTAATTTGTTCACTTTTGAGGCATTCCCTCCTTGATTTCCACCGGAAAGGCTACTCATCTTGGCCGTCCCAGTTCAGGTCTCCCCATTCCCTGTGAAATAGTCCCAAGCCACACCAGCCAGAGTTCACTGTTCTCTCTGCTTTTGCCTTTATTCCAGCACCTCCCCAGTTGGCTGGCATCATTGACCACTGATCATGTCTGCTTCCCCCACCTTACCGCGAACTCTGTTAAGAGGAGGAATCCTGTCTTACAGTTTGCCGACTTAAAGCAGCCCTTGCGCTATGGTGGTTAAGAGGGCCAGCTCAGGAGGCAGACAGACCTGACTTCTGATCCAAGCTCTCTGCCACCTGCTCGGTGTGTCACTTGAGGAAGATACCTATTTATTCATTATCTAGTCATATATTTAGTTGATAAATATTTATTTAACTTTCTCTATTATGTATATAAACACACACACACACACACACACACACACACACACACACACACACACGATGTCCCAGATACTGATTAGTCTCTGTGTATCTGAGTTTCCTCATCTCAAAAATGGGACCAATAATGGTACTTATCTCAGAGCTATTGTAAGAATTAGCATGAGCTAATGCAGGTAAATTCCTTAACACAGTGCCTGGCACACAGTAAATAATAAATAATAGTGATTATTAATTCTGCTCTTAATAAAGTGCTTGTGAATTTCCACTTTCAGGAAAGAATGAAACCCAGGATGGGTCAGTGACTAGTCCTTGGTTGGGTCTGCTCATCAAACCTCTCACACCAGTGTGAGCAGTGGGATTTCTGTTCTGGAATTATACCACTCTTCTCCCATGCCCATGAGTTCAGGGAAAAAAATGGATAAGCTAGAAAAGCTATCCTCCATTGTCATGAAATAAATTTCAGTCTTTTAAATTTACTTTTGGTTCCCAAATAGAAGTTTATTGTTGAAAATAATTGAGCTTCAGTGATTTAAAAATAAAGTACAAGTAACTTAAAACATTTTTATTCCCAGATTTGTTGTTCTATGTTAGCAGTGCATGCTACTAGTACTGCACACACGCATGCGTTGGGGATTGCCTCTGTCTTTGTGGTTCCACAGTAACTGTGATCAGTAGTAACTGGGCCCATTGTCTACTCTTTTGCAAGATATTAGATACCACTTACCTTATTGGGATCCATCCATCATGTAATACAAAGTGTTGAAACAGCAATTTGATGACCTGTAAATATTCTCTTAGTGATAAAATACTGGGAGTTGAAAGTATTAATAAAGGGAGATTTTGGAGAGAAAAATAGGCAATTCTAAAACATATTACTTTCTAAAACTTAGAGTAGAAATCTTTACTGTTGATAAATGACACCACCATCGAGGTCTCTCTACAACTGATATCCTGTCCCCTAGGAATCTCCAAAGTCCTCATCCTCTCCTTGCTAGTTAATCCACATTTTAAAAAATGAACCCCTTATTTTAGAATAGTTCTAGATGTGCAGAAGAATTGCAAAGAAAGTACAGAGAGTTCTCATATACCTCCAGCTTAGTGTCTCCTGCTGTTCATCTCTTAAATGAGTAGAATACATTTGTTTCAACCAAGGAAGGAGTTTTGGTGCATTATTATTGACTAAACCCCACAGTTTGTTAGGATTTCACTAGTTTTTCCCTAAGATCCTTTTTGTTGTTGTTATTCCAGGCTTCCATCCAGGATACCGCTTTACATTTGTTCAGAATGTCTCCTTAGCCTCCTCTGGTCTGGGACAATTTCTCAGACTTCCCTTGTTTTAATGACCTTGAGGTGTATTTATTGGTCAGGTATTTTCTAAATGTCCCTCAGTTTGGTTTGTCTAATGCTTTTCTTATGGTTACAATGGGGTTATAGGTTTCAACATCTGATTCTCATCCATCATATCAAAGGTTCATGCTCTCAACATGACTTATCACTGATCAAGTTAACATCCATCATTTGGTTGAGTTAGTGTTTATCAGGTTTCTCCACTGTGAAGTCCCTCTTTTTCCCTACCTTTCCATCCCGAAGTCTTTTTTTTTTTTAATTATATATATTTATTTTTGGCCGCACTGCGCGGCCTGTGGGATTTTAGTTCCCTGACCAGGGATCGAACCCAGGCCCTCGGCAGTGAAAGCATGGAGTCCCAACCACTGGACCTCGAGGGAATTCCCTATACCGAAGTCTTTCGAAGGAAGTCACCATGTATAGCCCACATTTCAGGGGTGGGGAGTTGAGATCCACCTTCTTGAGAGTGGAGTATTTATATAAATTAATGGCGATTCTTCTGTACAGACTTTTCTGTTGTCCCACATTTATTTATTTATTCAGTATGGACTCACAGATATACTTTGAATTATTATCTAATACTGCAGTGTTTATTTTATTGCTCAAGTTGTTCCATCTTTGGCCTGTGGGGCTCTCTTATTGGCTCCTGTGTGACTTTGACATTCTTTCATCAGAATGTTTTTTGAGTGCTTGTTTACTTTCTGGCACTATAAGATGCTCCAAGCTCATCTAGTATTTTCCTTGCTCCAACCCTAGAAGCAGCCATTTCTGGAAAAAGGTCTGATTCCTTTTACTGGAGACTGCTATTAGAAACCAAGACCTGAGTGCTCCCTGGGGTGTCATTGCTTCTAGCCCCTCAGAATGAATAGGAAATACATGTGTATACTGAGCCACGTATATACACATACCTATTACCTATCTGTCATCTATCTCCTTCTTTCTCTCTCTCTTGCCAAAACAGGAGTTCATACTGATGCCTCCAACTGTAATTCAGTGCCACATGGATCACTCTAGCTTCCGCCTTGCTTATCTGTAACCTTCATTTCCAAGACTGACAAATCTGGCTCCTAACATCCACCATCTGTTTGTTCCATCCAGTTTACAAGTATACCAGTTTCAGAATTAACTCCTAACGCCATGTAATGCCACACATTTTTATTCTTCTGCCCCTTTTCACTTCCCTTCCACTGGTCATTCATCCTACTCCCAAAAGGAAGAGATTTGATCCAACCCAGTGTTAATGCTGATTAGCAAGAGAGGAAGGATCTCCTTTAGACAACTCAAGACAAGGATAGCCACTTGGCTTCCCTAATCCAATCTCGTCTGTGACGGCTCATAGCATCCATTCCCTCTGACCTTGTTGTCTACTTGGTTCTGTGCCCAGAACTGGATGTATGCCCCTGTCTGACAGCATGTTTTCTAAGTCACTGTTTTGTGAGAGAGAGGCCTCATGTAGGGGTAGGAAATAAAGTTAAATCTTCCCTAAGTGCAGCCCTAATGTTTCTTTGCCATGTGTTCTGTGGCCTTTAAAGAGGAAGGTGACAGAATTATAGTGGAAACATAAAAACTGTAATAGAAATAAAATATATATATAGTGATATTATTACATAAGCATAATAACTTACAAAGGCACAAAGAAAATAGCCTAGAAGCCATATATTAAGGAAGTAAACTTTGGTTTGCTTGTTTTCTTACTTCTTTCAGTACTTGATTTCTTAAAAAATAAATTTATTTATTTTTGGCTACGTTGGGTCTTCATTGCTGCACATGGGCTTTCTCTAGTTGCAGCAAGCGGGGGCTACTCTTCGTTGCGGTGTGCAGGCTTCTCATTGTGGCTTTTCTTGTTGCAAAGCATGGGCTCTAGGCGCATGGGCTTCAGTAGGTGTGGCATGCAGGCCCAGTAGTTGTGGCTCGCGGCCTGTAGAGTGCAGGCTTCGCTTTGTTTTTGTTAATACTGGGCTTCAAAAATGTATTCTCATTAACCTTCAGATATGTAAGGATAGGGAATTCCCTTGTGGCACAGTGGTTAAGACTCCACCTGCCAATGCAGGGAACTCGGGTTCGAGCCCTGGTCCGGGAAGATCCCACATGCCGCGGAGCAGCTAAGCCCGTGCGCCACAACTACTGAGCCTGCGTTCTAGAGCCCGCGAGCCACAACTAGTGAAGCCCGCGTACGTAGAGCCCGTGCTTTGTAACAAGAGAAGTCACTGCCACGAGAAGCCCGTGCACCGCAACAAAGAGTAGCCCCCTCTCGCCGCAACTAGAGAATGCCCGCATGCAGCAACGAAGACCCAGCGCAGCCAAAAAAATTTAAAAATTAAAAAAAAAAAAGATATGTAAGGATATTTAGAGGACAGTTGAGGCCATCTTTGCCACCGTTTTTTCTCAGAGTGGCTATCACTTTCTTTAGAATGAGTACTGGGAATTCTTTTATTGAGGTTCTTTTCTAAATGATCTTTCACCTACGAAATTTGTGAGGTGGAATGCTCTGCCACATTTGTCTCACTTTCTCAGTGACTGAAATAATTGTGTGGAGAAAAACCAAAAATGAATATCTAGACTATTAGAGAACTATTGAACATTATAAAAATACTACAAACTTTTATTAAATAGGATTACTTTTTCTAAGAATCCTTGTCATTCAGTTCTCAGATCTCAAAGAAAAGACTCTCCAAGTCTATAATTTAATTTATATGATAATTATCTAGCTTCATTTATTTTTGCCTTCTGTGGTCACAGTAGCACTGGGATTGTCTAACTGATAAATTTCCGTTTAAATGAAAAGTAAAATCTTCATGTATTTTCTGGATCTTACTGGTTGCTGGTGCAGGGAAATCCTGTTAGGAATGAGCTTACTTTGGTGGGAAGATAGACTGAGCTGTGTCATTTAAAATGTCTACATTTGAACAGCTAATGACTGTTTTTAAAAATATTTAAATAATATTTACTTGGCTCAATATTCTGTGATAACCTAAGTGGGAAAAGAATTTGAAAAAGAATGGATACTTGTATGGGTATAACTGAATCACCTTGCTGTACACCTGTAACTAACACATCATTGTTAATCAAGTATACTCCAATATAAAATTAAAAGTAAAGGAACTTATTTACAAAAACAGAAGTAGAGTCACAGATGTAGAAAACAAACTTATGGTTACCAGGAGATAAGGATAGGGGGATAAACTGGGAGATTTGGATTGACATATACACACTATATAAAACAGATAACTAATAAGGCCCTACTGTATATAGCACAGGGAACTCTACTCAATACTCTGTAATGGCCTATATGGGAAAAGAATCTAAAAAAGAGTGGATATATGTGTATGTATAACTGCTTCACTTTGCTGTACCGCAGAAACTAATACAATACTGTATATCAACTATACTCAAATAAAAATTTTTAAAAAATAATTAAAAGTAGGGGCTTCCCTGGTGGCACAGTGGTTAGGAATCTGCCTGCCAATACAGGGGACACGGCTTTGAACCCTGGTCCGGGAAGATCCCACATGCTGCAGAGCAACTAGGCCCGTGTGCCACAACTGCTGAGCCTGCACTCTAGAGCCCACAAGCCACCACTGCTGAGGCCCATGTGCCTAGAGCCCATGCTCTGCAACAAGAGGAGCCACAGCAATGAGAAGCTCACGCACCACAACGAAGAGTAGACCCCACTCACCACAACTAGAGAAAGCCCGCACTCAGCAACGAAGCCCCAATGCAGCCAAAAATAAATGAATAAAATAATTTTAAAAAAATAATTAAAAGTAAATAAATTTTATTAATCTCCTCCTCAAGGAGATTTTAAATTAATTAATTAATTAAATATTTTTAAATGTTGATTTCCAGTGTGAAAAAGAAAGTCCTGCTGAATGACAGGTCACTCTTCATAACATGTAAGTGGATCAAAGTAAACATGTAAAACAGGAAAATCAGGGATTTCCCTTGTGGTCCAGTGGTTAAGACTCCGCGCTTCCACTTCAGGGAGCACAGGTTTGATCCTGGGTTGGGGAACTAAGATCCTGCAGGCCGAGTGGCGTGGCCAAAAAATAATAATAATAAATAAATAAAAAGATGGATGTTAAAAAAAATAAAAATAAAACAGGGAAATCAGACTTTCACCTGGGCGTTACCTGGCAATTCTTATCTGTGTGTAAATGCCAAATTCACTAGATTTGTTGTGAAAAACTGTTTCAAAAATTTCAAAGTGACTTTAATGGTAAATTGGTCCAAAAGAAAAATAAAAGAATTATCAATGGTCCTGGCAGTGTCCTAGGTGTTTGGAGGAAAGAAGGGAGTAAATATTCTGTTTATACTACTCCAAATCAGGTGGCAGTCCCCTTCATGTTCATGATTTACAAGAAGTACAATGGCCCTGTGGCCAACGGTGCCGATGTATGGTTCCTAATTGCAAGTGTGGTTTACTGTAATAGCCCAATAATTACAAAATTATAGGTGGATTCATTCAATCAGGAAAAAGGTATGTGTGTGCGTGTTCTGCTGTGGTCATTGGCACTGGCCCAGGCCCCTTCTGGAGGAGAGATAAAGACTAAAACTGTAAATGCCAAATAAAGAAAGGTATGACAGTTAATGTCTTATGTAGCTATGAATTTAACATGAAGGCTTTCATTTTGCAACTACCTCATTCAGTCTCCCCATCTGTCACCTAAGGAATATTTAATTTTTGTTTTCGTTTGTTTTTGTCTTCAGGAGAAAAAATAGACTATTCCTTAGTGGTTCAGATCAAAAGCAGAATTTTGATGGAGTGTCAGGGAACCGGATATGTGGGTTGAGAGAAAATGAGAACTAAATGTGTGTCTGTAGCCATGGAGGTGAATTTGAGATGGTAACTTTAGTTCCCATGTTTGTAATAGTCAGTCCTTCTATATTTCACAGCATTTAAATTGTTCAAAATTGAACCTTCAGCGTAAAGTCTCAGTGGAGAAGAAATACCATATGGTCAGTTTCTCCCTGGGTTTGCCCCTAGTTTAAGGAAGGCAGTTGGACAGGAGTGGAAGTAAAGTAAATAAGGATTTTACTTTTTAACTCTGGCTTAGCTTCCAAATTAGTCCTTCCCATATCTCTGCCTGCTGCACCGTGGCCAACGTGGCTGGGGTAAAGTAGGGTTAGGAACCATTTACAGAAGAATCAGTCACTGCCGAACTTGCATTTCTGCCTGAAATTAGAGTTGACTTTATGAGTGGGAAGAACAGGATTTATCTCCTTGTTTGGAAGGAGAACTTATAAGGATTAAGGTATTGGCATTGTATTGACTGTCCTTTTTCATTCAATTTAAGATTATCCTGGTTCTTGATATGTCAAGTGATTTTTGATTGAAACTTAAAACATTTTTGTATTATATTATGAGACTGTAAATGTTATGGAAACCTTTTGTTTTAACGGGCTTTAACACCTCTCCAGCAAGGGAAGCGAGGGGTGCCACCTCATTACTGCCAGGTGGAGGTGAACACCCAGGTTCTCCCTTCATCCTCTGTTGATATCTGGCGGCAGATATGGGGGGAAGGGTCTTCATTACTCTTGGACACGGTTCAATTTCCAGATCCCCACGTGGTCTCTGCTGACACCATAGTGGGTGGGGGTGGTCTTGTTCCCACTGAGCAGTGGTTTGGTGTGACCCCAATACTGGCGGGGAAGGAGAATAAGAGATACCTCATTACTGGGTATGGGTGGAAGACCAGGTTCCCACATGGTCTCCACTGACAATGTAGAGGATGCTTCATTAACAGCTGGTGCACAGGAAGGTCCTGGCTCCCTGCTTGGTCCTCTCTGACACCACTCTGATAGGGGTTTTGGGGCTCCTCATTAGAGGGTAGAAGTCTACTCTACCCACTCAGCCTTTCTTGGCTTGGATGGTCATAGTTTCTTCTGTGGTGTTTGGCTGGAGTGGAGCAGTTATTGTCTAAAAGTTTTCTGTCTTGCTAGGCTGTCCCTTTCCTGCTCCTTTGGCTAGATAGAGCAGGCTTTTGTGAGTTTTTTTTGGTCTGTGCCCATTGTTTTCAGGTTCAGCTGCCAGTCTGGAATATATGAGACTAAAGGAAAACCCAGGGATCTTACCTCCATGTTGTTTCTTAGGTCCTGAGGTCCCAAGCTGGCCTATTTTCTTTTCACCTTATATAGTCTTTTCATGTTTCTTTTATATATAGCATTCAGGGTTTTTTTTAGTTGTATGTAGCAGGAGAAGTAGGAAAAAGTAAGTTTACTCCATTTTCCTAGAAGCAGAGGTTCTTGCCATTCAATTTTTGTTTTATTTTTCCCAATATTTTATTGTGAAAGTTTTGGAGATGGAAGAATTATGCAACTAATGACCACACACCCACCACCTAGATTCAACACTTAACATTTTGCTATATTTTACTATATTGTGAATTTATCCATCTCCATTCCATCTATCCATCAATTTATTATTTTGGATGGACATCAGTACACTTCATCCCTAAACACATCAGCATGCATGCCATTAATTGGACTTCACTACTTATTTATGGTTTTTCTAATGGTAGATTTTACAAAAAGAAAAATGCACAATATCATAAATACCATTTGATGCATTTTGTATAATCCATCCTTTATTGAGATAATTTCCATCACCCCAGGAAAATCCCTTAAGCCTCTTCTCAATTAATTCCCACATCCATTTCACTCCAAGAAGCAACTACTGTTCTGGTTTTCTTTCTTTCTTCTTTTTTCTGTTTTCCCATAAATTCATTTTGCCTTTTTTAGAACTTCATATACATAGAACCACACAGTATGTACTCTTTTGTGTGTTGCTGTTTTTTGCCAGTACAATGTTTTTGAGATACATTCACATTGTTTGTAGGTATCAATGGCTCCTTTTCTTTAAATTGCTGAGTGCTACTTCATTGCATGAAAAATACCATAGTTATCCATTCTTTAGTTGCTTCCCGTTTTTTGCCATTGAAATTTAATCTTTGGGGTAATATAAGTTATCAGCATCTTCTTTCTGTTATGAACATAGTGTAAGGCAACTTAAGGTTTGGGGCCTTTCTTCTGATTGATGAAATGATGTGAGGCACATAAAGATATGTTCTATTACCTACGACATCCATATTTTCCATGTATTTTTTGTCATTCGTGATAGTTATCAGTTTATTTGAAGCTAGAAACTTTTTTGTAACAAGCAAAAGATAGTTTTAGTATAGTAAAATTTAGAATTTAGCTTCTTGGCACTAAATTTTATTTTGTGAAGGAAAAAAACCTGGTTTTAACTACACCATAACTGTCATTTTCATTACTGAGAATGCCAAACTAGTCTCTGGAGGAACATCCTGTTTCACTTAGAATACTCTATTTCTGCACAGAATATTGATGTAGTTGTTGCAGATGGATTCAGCTGTTTCGCAGACCCTTATTTATCTGGCCTTACCTTTTATGTAGGTCTCTTATTTCTTTTCTGTTTCCTCAAAATGATTATCTAAGGGGACTGTAATTTCTGAATGATTGATTTATTGATTGATATTAGAGGAGTTCTACTGGCAGGGAAATGGGGCAAAATAAGCTTTATGTGAGATTCCAATTAAAGCGGGCATGTTTACTTTGAACAGTGCAAGAAAACATAGATGATGTTGTTTCAAACTTTTATTACAGCTTTTCTCTGACTTGACTTTCTTTATACAGTTGACGGACTGGACAAAGCTTCTATAGCAAACTCAGATGGCCCAACAGCAGGCTCCCAAACACCTCCCTTCAAGAGAAAGGGGAAACTCTCCACCATTGGTAAAATCTTTAAGCCTTGGAAATGGAGGAAAAAGAAGACCAGTGACAAATTTAGAGAGACATCAGCAGGTAGGAACATCATAATTTTGTTAGAAGATAAATTGTTAAATTTTCCAAAAGGTAAAAAATTATATCTTGCAGCGTTTTTTTTTTTCAGGGAAAAAAATTAATCTATATTTGAAATGAAATTATTTCATTTAAGGGTGAAACAACTTAGGGTTCTGATCTGCCGCCTTTTTCTACTCACTTTAGCTTTCTAACGTCGTCTTGTTTTTAAATATGTACTTGTAAATTCATATAAAAAATTAATGTGTAAGGAGAGGGAGGTGAAATGGAAAATTAGAAGTGGAAATGTTATTTGTCATTATTGTAGCTGGAAGTATCCATTTATACACACACATACGAACACTATTATCTATCTGTCTACTTAGTTCCAGTAACACGATCCTATTTGTCAATGAAGAATTTTTAAAATGTCTTTTAAATGTATTTGTTCTGTGGGCAAAATTTAAATGGCTGTATGAAGGAAAGGTGCTGCTATATTTATTAATTTTAAATTTCCATCATGTCCTTAGGACAAATAAATGGTCTGTGTCCTAGAGGAGTCATAACCCTAATGGTGTGAAAACTTTTTATTGTTATTTTGTGGATTTGTTAAACCTTAAGAATTACATTATTTAGTACCTTTCATATGGACTTATGGAGGAAGTTGGCCTTAAATCTCAGGCCAGAATTAAGCCTGATTTAAACAAATGTCCAGTATCAGGGTATTGTTTAAGGTGGAAATGAGTTTATACCTTGGTGTAAGTGTAGCTTTCTCCACGTTTGTTGTCTAAAATAATCCCTTCATCAAAATTCCTCACTGCACCAGAAACTAAGATTGTCCGTGTATGTACAGGATCACAGAGCATATCTTACTGGTCTGTGCTAAGGGTTGGCCTTTAGTTCTAGCGCTGTGACATAAAAAGGAAAACACCATCAATAGCACAAGGGTGTAGGATAGAGACACCAGGGCTTCCTAAAGAAAATTGTCTCTGCTGCTTTTGCAGCTGTATCATTTCTTTGAGCATTTAATATTTAAAAAGAACAATGATACTATTTCTGGGATTTGTTTCAAAATGATCCTGGAGGAGAGGGGAGTATAGATGAAAGAAGATCGGTCACAAGTTGGTAATATATGGGGTTCATTATTCTAATATCTCTACTTGTAGGTACTGGAAAGTTTTTGCAATAAAAAGATAGGCAAAGACAAAAGACTTGGCTTAGGAGCAAATAACGATGGTTTGCTTTTTGAATCCTCTTTAGTTCCTAACTGGCTTCTTGGGTTAGGAGCAGTGGGAAGGGATGAACAGAGTGCTGTGCTGAGGGAGGACACCTGGGTTCTAGTTGTGTCCTTGCCACCAAGGTACCGTGTGACCTTGAGCAAGTCAGATCAGAATTGAATGAATTGAATTCTAATGTGCTTTCAGTTCCAGATTCTGTTGTGGATCCTTGAGTCCTTCCAACCCCTGACTGGGCATCTTGTTCTTCCTTGTTCTGCAGTTGTAGATGGAAATACACTCGTCTTCTTAAGTACTTCCCGCTCAGGTTTCTCTAAGCATTGGGGGAGTCTAGCTCTTCGAGTTACCATGGATAACCAAGATGGGAATAGGGCTCTGGACAGTAGCATTAAGAAGACATTGAAAAGAGATGATGAAAGTCTCTTCATTTGTCTCTCTTGCCCTTTTCCTGGGTCTGGGCTGCTACCGTCTCTCTCCCTAAAGTAGGAACAATTACAAAGAACTTCCCTTCATCTTTTCTTGTCACTCTTTTTAATTATTTTAATAGTAGGGAGGCTGTAACATTTCTACCAACCCAGAATATTTAAGAAAAGTCATTTTAGACAGCATTAAGTGTTATTTTATATTATCCCATATTTATTGAGGATAACCTAGCAGTCTTTGTATTCTGTTTCCTTTTCAAATTCACACAAGATTTTATATAAGTTGAGCTCCAAGAAGTTATTTATGGGTACTATATTTCTAGCTCCTAAAGACTACCGAACCACCTTAAAAACCTGAGAAAGTTATTAGATGTCTCATTAGATTGTTTTTTGTCTTTGCATCAAAATTGTGACATAACAGAATAAAGACAAGCCAAGTGGATGTGTTAACAATTCATTGTGAATTTTTCTGCTACATTTACTTGCATCATTTCTTTTAAAATATATTTATTTATTTATTTATTTTTGGTTGTGTTGGGTCTTCGGACGTTGTTCATCGTGGTGCGCAGGCTCCTCATTGTGGTGGCTTCTCTTGTTGCAGAGCACAGGCTCTAGGCACACGGGCTTCAGTATTTGCAGCACGCAGGCTCAGTAGTTGTGTCTCATGGGCTCTAGAGTGCAGGCTCTGTAGTTGTGGCACGCAGGCTTAGTTGCTCCACGGCATGTGGGATCTTCCTGGACCAGGGCTCGAACACATGTCCCCTGCACTGGCAGGCGGATTCTTAACCACTGCACCACCAGGGAAGTCCACATCATTTCTTTTTAAACCCATGTTATTACTAATGTTTTATTTGAATTTCGTAAGATGTTATCAAGTGTCTCAAGTACTTTACTGTCACTATATGTATATATATATATTTTAAATTCAATTTCTGCTGAGTTTTATGGAATGTATTAGTAAAGCTTAAAATAAACGGAGGAACAAAGCGGTGTAACATGTTTTTTTTTCACATTGAGGAAAGATGTCACATCTAGAGGAAAACTGATGCATTTGGAAATAACCAAGAGTAGGGTGTTTTCTTCTCTAATACATTGTCTCAAACAGTGAAATCTAGGGGTTTGGGTATGACCAAGGCCAGCTCCATCAAAGAACACCTTAGGCAAGATCCATAATATTTTAGGATATGAAAGAATATGAATTTCTTCCAAGAAGAGTAACTCTTCTTTGTCCTTCTCCTAAGCTCTTGGCTTTACAGTCATATGGACATGAATCTTACTGTGTTCTATTACACAGCGATTAATACCACTTTTCCTGGTGTCGGGGTCTGTGGTAGGAATTTTTAATTGATGGTAGATAGGAGGCAGCACTGATTTATTAACGCCACTGTAATAAATGTCATTGTTCTCACATGTTCATGGTGGTGGAAGTTAAGAAAGGTCCTGTGTTCTGTCTGCTTGGTGGTCCTTGAGGCAACTAGACTTTGAAAGGCTGTCTTGTCCTATGAGGCTGGCTGGGCTTATGCCCCGACTTCAAGTTCTCTGGCCTTGTTTTAAAGCAGAAAGTTACCTGTATCTTCAGCTCTGTTTAGAATGGTCCATAGGCCGCTGGGATCTAGGGCAGAGTATTCTTTGCTATTTACTTGCCCTTGGTGATTCTTTTCTTCGGTTTTCATCTCCTGAGTGAAAGGGTCCTTCTTTGGTTCCACCTAAGCTCCATCCCTTCCCTAACTTTAGAACTCAAAATCTCATTTATGCTTTTTTTCCTACATAATCATTTCTTCCCTTTTTTTGAGGGCGGGGGTGGTGGTGGTGGGTAGGTAGTGGTGGCTGAGGTGCCTCCCTTTGGGTCTTTACGTATGCTTTCATCTCCCCAAAGCTGACAAATACAAACAAACAGGCTGTTCCTCTAACTTCTACATGGGCGGTTACAACTAAGACCAAAGGTCTTCAAAATCTACCCTGTGTCTGCTGCTTCCACTTCCCTCCTGCACTCTCATGTCTTTCCTTCTGCAGTCTGCCCCTGCATCCAGCACTCCATTGAGGGGACTCCAAGCCTCCCAATCCTGACATTTAGTGTTATTCTCTCATTTTCATCCATCTCAGTCTCTACAAGATGTGCCATTGCTGTTGTGTCCTTCCTTGTTTTACAAAATAGCTCTTACTTGATTTACACAAGGTGTCATCATCTTGGTTGTCTTTGACTTTTCTTTCTCTTTTGTCCCCTCTCTTCCCCTTCCCATTTCCCCTAAACCTGTGCAAGAGAGGTTTGCTACCTGTCTCAGCCCTTCTCCTTTTGTGAACATGCCCTTCCTCACCTTCTTGCTTCTCAGTGCCCACATCTCTCGAACCCAGGCACATCACCCCGAGCACCTCATGGGCAGTAGTGCCTGAGGACTGTGTGTTAACTCAAAACCCATTCTTATGGTCTACCTAGATCTACATTGAAAACGTGGTACATGCCAGGCACTGATTAATTTACTTCTGGGTGTCAATTTTTTAATTAAAAAATCAGAATTTTATAGTGAGAATAAGAAACTTGCATCAGATTTTGCTCTCACACAGTGAGGGGAGGCATTCAGTTAAGTTGGACTGTAAGACTGCAGAGTTAGACCGAGAAATTTTCACAATGAGAGGTTACAGTGTCTACAAGCAGAAGAATTGCTGTGAATACGTGCTGTGTGTCCCCCGGTTTAGAAGAGAGGGTCTGTAACCTATGACCACACTCAGTTCTTCCTCAAACCACTGAGTGACTCGGCAGGTGACTGGAGTAGCAACCATCTTAATTCCACCCCTCCCTAAAGGTATCACAGGCTTTAGACAGGATATGAGATACCAACATTGATCTTTTACAAGAATGACTCTTTGACATTGTTTAAGGCAATGGCACCAAACAGAGGCCTTACAACTTGATTCTTTATTCTCTTCAACACATATCCACTGTTAACACTTAACATTGGCTTAACATCTAAAATGTCTTCAGCTTAATATCTTTACTTTTTTCATAACTTCTACTTTCACAAATACTTCTGTGTTTGGGGATAGTATTAAAATGTAATTTCAGGAATAGAAACATTATTTTTGGTGAAGCAAGATAGAAAATTTAAAGTTCACTTGGCAGCAGTAGCAGTCACTGGAAGGTTTCATTATGCTCACCCTACTTGTCTTCCGTGCATTAACTTAAACTTTCGTTTTAGAGAGGGAAGGTACTGACACCTGCTCTGAATGAGCACAGAGAGGGAGCAGAGAGGGAGTGGGAAAGTCCTATGTACAAATACTTTCCAAACCAAAGTAGATCCCCTGCCATCCCCAGCTACCCCTGCTATTGCAGACGTGGCTTTCTTTGGCATCCAGGCTTTGACCACGGAGT